GATGGCAGGGGGTGGGTAAAAAAGAAGTGGGCTGGGCTGGGGAGGAGGAGGAATGGAGATGTGAGTGGCAGTCGGGCCATTTGTTTGCCCCCCTAATTCGGGTTGGCAGTTGCTGGGTCACGTGGAGGCCCTCACCGCCTTCAGGGAATGAATGAGAGACCGAGAGGGATGGGAGGGAGTGAGGGTAGGGCTTGAGAAAGTAACATGATATGATTCTTGGATGATTATGACTCTCGTATACGGGCCTATTGGCCTGGACTGTTCCGTGCCTGAGTGCCTGGATGAGCCCTCTTTGGTTCCCACAGAATTACACTTCCACCTCCCATGGATCGAGCGTCGTTTGATAGCGTTCGCAGTTTCACATCATCAATGATGCATAGATTCCCTAGCGTGGTGAAATGGATATTAATCGGAGCAGGAACCTGACTTTCCAGTCCATGTGGGTTTGACTTATCAATCGAGGTGTGGTGGCAGGATCATTTGGGTTTGGCAGATATATACTGCAGAGGCAAACGCGGCGATAGTAGGTTGGTTGAGCCTCGGGGGACAGGAGAGGCAGGTATGGTAGGCAGAAGCCCTGAAACACTGAACATACTAACAGAAAAACAGATAAAATCTAATGCATGCCTAGGAGTGTCTACCTAGACATCCTGCTTAGTCGGCAGCAAGCAGAGGAGAAAGGAAACACTCCTTCCTCTTCTGAGTCCTACACTACTACTTCTTCCTCCCAATTCTCCTACCTGGCTTTGTCTCTCCCCAAAACACCCTCTCCTTCTTTCCCTTCTGACATCACTACCTTCCTCTCCCCTTCCCCTCAACACTGATACTGTCGACCACCCATCTTCGAAGAGCCTTTTCGGGATTCCCAGACAAGAGGCTGCCATAATGGCCAGCCAGTGCAACTTGCGCTTGAGTCGCGTAAGTACCCAGCTGTTTATATATCCCTCCACCCTGCCTGTCCTTACTCAACCATCATATCAAACAGGAGCTGCAGCTGCTGGAGAAAGGCGACCAGCTCAGTATGTTCCCCAGACTCGGGTTTTGCAGGTCAGCAACTAATACGGGATGTTTTGGATAGCGATGACTGTTCGATATGACGAAAAGGATATCCGCAAGATCTCGGCTATTGTTATGGGCCCGCCAGGCACGCCGTATCAGCTGGGCTTTTACGAGGTGAGGTCTTGCTCGCTTGGACAGTCCGAATAAATACTAAAGCAAGCCGCGAGAGATTCAGTTTTCCTTCAAATTTCCTCCTGGTCATACGGTCTTCTCTTAGCGAAGATGGTGCCAACGCTGACTTCGAAAGTAGACTACCCCGGCAGCCCCCCCGGGGTCACGTTTATGACGACCAACAGGGGCAGGACTCGTTTCGGCCCTAACCTGTACGCTGGCGGAAAAGTCTGCTTGTAAGTTCTCGACAGAGACCAGCAGAATGGATTGGTCATACTGACATGCGTCGGTGTAGGTCCATCATCGGGTATGGTCTACTGACCACCTAGGATAAACTCGTTACTAAAATCCACTGTTAGAACATGGGAAGGCCAGAAGGGAGAGCAATGGTCTCCAGCCCAGGGGCTCGAGTCCGTGCTGCTATCCATCCAGAGCCTTTTGTCGACCAATCCGTACGTGAACGAGCCAGGATTCGAATCGGCTGCTCACAGTAACGACAAGGAGAATATGGAAATATACAGCGCAAAGGTAGGCCCACGCATTACTCGGAATTGGATGGATGTGCAGACTTACTGTTCGGGTCCAGATCCGCCATGAAAACCTGCGACTCGCCGTCATTCAGCCACTCGAACGAGCCCTGAACATCAGCATAACGGACCGTGAACCCGAACCTCTATCGATGCTGCAACAGTTCGGGGTGCCCGACCAGGTTACTGATGGCCCAAAAGACGGAGAGACCGGGCTGGTCGATCCTAATCAGATCTGCCCATTTGATGACTATCGCAAGCAGCGGTTCTTGTGGTACGTGGATCGATACATGAACCTGGTGGACGAGGCTATCACGAAAGATGGAGCCCGACACAAAACCCGCTTCCCACAGATGCCATTCGAGGGGGGCGGCAACTGCATGTCAGGCTCATGGGATTACCCGCAGTTGAAGCAACGCCTGCACAAGATTCGGCACACGCTGATGCAGGAGACTGAGAGCTGGGCGATCCAGGGCATGGAAGCGTATAAGACTGCGCACACGACCGCATACAGCATCAAGTACCAGTACGAGCAGATCGTGTCCAATCTGAAGCACCGTTCGGACTCCGTCGTCGACTTGTCCTTGGTAGATGGGAATCCCTTCATCTGGAAGCTCACGTACTTCGGGCGGCCGATGACGAATTTGGACGGAGGTGTTTTTTTAATAAAAATTCACATCAGCCCCCGCCATCCTCAGGAGCAGCCACGGGTGATGGTTGAGACTCCGATCCATCATATTCGGGTGTCCCCGAGAGGAGTCCTGATCTATCTCCCGGCACGTGCAGACGAGATGAGCCGACACGTCGAGGGCATCATCAACGCATTTGAGAACGAAGGTCCGGCCTACAACCCCCTTATGATTGTGAACCCGGAAGCGGACAGCCTGTTCTGGGGTGGACCGGAGGCGCGCAAGCTATACAACCGCAAGCTTCGTCGCACGGTTGAAGCGAGCGTGGTGGAGTGATGTTTTTCGCTGGTCCTTAAAACGGATTTCTCACAGCAGACTGTAGCTGTTAGTACACACGGAAGCGGATAGGCAATTGCTGATCGCTGATTTGGAGTTTGTTGAGCGAGAGACACTGATGGCTCTGGACACTTGTACGTATCGCAGAATCCTCGCAAGATGGTTGCTTTTTCAAAGCCAAGAAAAGGATACCTCGAGTCTATCTAGATCGTAGATTGATTGCTTATCGGGTCACCTGATCCCGCCTCCGGTCTTCATGGCCTCTTCCCCTTTTCGTCTCCCTCCCCAATTGCAATTGCGCTTCCCAGACATCACAATCAACGCAATCATGTCCGCAAAAAAGCGCACCCTGGAATTGGGTAATGTGATGGTGGTCGGAGGCTGTGGCTTCCTAGGGTGGCACATCGTCGATCACCTGCTGAACTTCCCTTCGGAGACCGACCCCAGCGTCGCTCTGCCGAAGCCCCAGGGCGATGCGCGCTTCGACTACCCGACTCTGGCCTCGCGCTACCCCGACTACAAGGCTAAGGTCTCTGTGGTGGACCTACGCACAAACAACAACCGGCTTCCTGGAGCCGAGTACTACGAAGGCGACATCACGTCAGCGGAGTCTATGCTGAAGGTATTCCGAGCCGTCCAGCCCGACGTGGTCATCCATACCGCTTCGCCGTCGCCGATTGAGGCAAGCAATGAACTGCTGCGCAAGGTCAATGTGGACGGAACGCGGACGTTGCTGGAGGTGGCCGGTGGTGAGCGCGGTGACTGGGGTGGGAAATGCAAGGCATTCGTCTACACGAGCTCCAGCTCGGTGGTGCACGACACGGAGAGCAACCTGGTGAATGTCGACGAGAGCTGGCCCTTAATGCGCGGCAAGCTCCAGAAGGAGTACTACTCCGAAACCAAGGTGAGATCTTTCGCTCGTGAGTTGCATCGGAGCGCCCGTCACTGACAACGCCGTATCTAGGCCGACGCCGAAGAATTGGTCCTCAAGTACAACCGCAAGTCGCCTTCTGGAATGGTGACGACCGCTATCCGGCCCGCCGGCATCTTCGGAGAGAAGGACACAACCCTAACACACAAGATGGTGGAGCACGGGACCCAGGCGTCGTCGACAGTGCTGAAGATGCAGCTGGGCGATAACAACAACCTCTTCGATTTCACGTACGTCGGCAACATCGCCTACGCGCACATGCTTGCCGGGAGCCGGCTGCTGGCGACTTACGCGCGCTACGAGGCCGGCCAGGGCGGACCCCTGGACCACGAGCGCGTTGACGGCGAAGCGTTCAACATCACCAATGATTCACCAGTCTACTTCTGGGATATGGGCCGTGCTATCTGGGCCTTGGTCGGCCGGGTCGTCGAGCCTGACCAGGTCTGGGCGTTGCCTGAGGGTCTTCTGGGCACGATTGGCGGCATTGCAGAGACTGTTCTCGGCATTTTTGGCAAGACGCCGCGTTTGACCCGTCGCCAGGTGCGGTACTCGTGCATGACCCGCTACTTCTCCATTGAGAAGGCCAAGTACCGTCTGGCATACCTGCCTGTCGTCACTGTGGATGAGGGTGTGGCTCGTGCCGTTGGATATGTTGTTGAAGAACGACAGACGGCGGCGGGCAAGAAGGCGCTGTAATGGGAGCGTCAAAGTGCCTAGAAATATTGTAACATTATGGGAGTCAATTCGATTCTGTCAATGATGTGATTGACATACCTCCAGTAAATATACTGGAAAATATTCCTAAAAGAATCCCCCGAGGCCAAAAGAGTTGTCTTAATTATTGACTACAAGTTGGCGGCTCTTGATCGGATTGTACTCGGCGTGGCAGAGATCCAATACTCTCTGCCAGGTTGACCACGCCTTCAGCTGCCATTGATGACCTCTGAGCGGATGGAGGGTGGGAGATCATTGCGTAGGGCACATTTCATGACAGCAAACTAGATGGTGGTGGATAGGGCCATGCCCGCAACTGATCCCAGCATTCGCATCAGATTCCGTGTGGAGGTAGACACAGCTCGATCTTCGGTCTAGGATAGGGCTTGCAGGGCAAGAAGAGCTGCATTAAGTCAGTATGAGAGGTTAGATGGACGGACCAAGAGTCTCACCAGATTGAAGGACGAAGCCAATACCCGTCCCTTCAATGACCAAGACAATCACGTATCGGCCACCGTGCAATTTAAGCCCCTTGATTTGCTAATTGCAACAAACTACACATCCAAACCCACGATTCGAGTCTAGATAAAGTCTCATCCATGGCCGCCCAACTGGGAGGCAAACGAAGAAATATAATTCATTCTTGGAAGCCGGTTTGCCAAGTCATCCAATGGCCACCTGGTTTGTATGCTCTTAGTGCTTTTCTCCCGTGGCTACCCATTCATCAAAAGACTTCTCAGCTCCAGCCATTGTGTTAAATGCCATCAGCCGTTTCAGGTATGCGAGATTCCCCCAACCCCACTCGAAATTACTCTCCGGATCATCCCAATCCACGGTTGTAAAGGCCTTGTTTCGCGCGTCAGCTTCGGGGCCATCCTCCAAATGGTAAAGAATTTGGTTCTGGATGGCGCCTTCGACGCTGGCTGTCGTACTAGCTTTTCGCATGGATTCATATAGATGTAGCACATCTGAAATCTTTGATCGGTAGTCCAAACCTCCTTGTTTTGGGTATTCTCTCGACAGTTTGCCCAGAAATACGCCCAAGGCTGCCCCATCTTCAACAGCCATTGCAGCGCCCTGAGCTTGGTATGGAAGTGAAGGGTGACAAGCATCCCCGAGAAGAGCAACCGAGTTCTATTCGCGACATTAGCAGGTACATCTAAATTGTGGCATATGATCCGATCTTACTTTGCACCATGTATCTAACTCTTTCATATGACAAATCTTCCATTTGAGGACATTGTCCACTTGTGCAATCAGAGCCGTCAACCTATCGTACGTGGTCAGAAAGCAGTGGTTAGGAAGCGGATCGCGCGATCCTCCGCACCTTGGATCCCATCCCTTGAACAGGTTCCGCATTTCATGAACATTTCCAGCGGAAGTAGCAACCCCAGCGGGTAAGTCGTCGGGACACCTAGATAACACATTATTGGCTTTTGTTTCTTGAACGGAAAAGTGAAGAGTGGCGTACAAAAGAACCAAGTTGAATGTGGCACTGTTGCGCACTGGATATAGAACGGCATGCTGACGAGGTCCGACCCACGCTCTTAGAGACGGTTCTTGCAAGAATGGCTCATTCAGTGCTTCCACACGCTCTTTGGGAATCGTGGCCCGATATGCTAGGTCTCCAGTCTCAACAGGCTCGATGTGGTATCCGAGGATCTCGTCGCGAACGACGGAACGTAGCCCTAAGATAATATTAGTAGCTATTCTTAAGCCAACACTTGTGTATAGCAAGTACCATCTGCGCCAATAATAACATCAGCGTGGATCTTTTCCTGGGTCGTCAATTGAACCGATGTGTCATTGAAATCCACCGAGACAACCTCTGCATTCAAACGGATTTTCGCCCCGAGTCTCTGAGCTTCCTTGACTAACACTTTATGGTAGTCTGCGCGATGAATGACGCTTAATTCAAGATAGTTAATAAAAGTCATGGTCGTCCAACGACAAGGGGCAATTACATACTACCAAATTTGCCCGAAGTGGTGTTTCATCCAGGCTGCCCCGGGCCGTACAGCCACTGGAGTACTGTCGGTGTATTTGAGGAGGCAATGTTGGGAGATATTGATAGCACCAGCATCGACCAGCCGGGGAACCAAGCCAAAGTGATCCATTACTCGTACCGCATTGGGCGGTAGTTGAATCCCAGCCCCGATCTGAACCCTTTTTAGTATGTATAAAGATAGAAAGGTGACCAAAGGACGTTGAATGACAGACCTCGCCGAGCTCAACGGCTTTTTCCAGAATTGTCACGCTCAACCCCTGGCGGAGACATTCGATCGCGCATGAGAGTCCGCCTGTGCGAATCCATTAACACTTAATTCTGATCTTAAATTATCAATACCTCTACTTGGAGTATCTCACCTAGTCCACATCCGACGATCAACACGTCCAGAGGATGGCAAGTGCTCCCGACCTTGTCAGGTTCAGCTGTCTGCGCATCACGAAATTGCAGTTTTCTATTTACCTGTTGGTCGGTGGATGACATGGTTCCGAGTAGTCCCAGTGTGTTTTTGCCAATGTGAAACGGTACAGGAAATTTATACGAGAAAATAGCAGAGTGTCGAGAGGATCAAAAGAGCAATCCACCAATCTCCCCGCTTTTACACGGAATCGAGCCTAAGCATTATTTTAGGAACCCCACCGACTCCTCCCAAACTAGGGGCCGTCGTGGCTTCGGTTCCAGCCGCGCGCAAACCTCTGGCCTCGTCCATGCCTAGTCCTTGGTCGATCTTCGGATGAGGCAGCCGCCCCCGCTATGGAGGCACGCTATCTTGGTGCGACGCCCGATATTAGCGCAGGATGCGTCGAAACGAGGCCGGGTCCAGTCGGACGCTTTTTGTGCTCGTCTCCACCACATCCCTGCATTATTTTGACCTCGGACTTCTATTTTAATGCTGCTTTCCTACTCCGCACTTCAAATTGGACTTACACTCTTATCCGCCTCGATGTACGCTTGACCTCACTTCAGCATTGAGCAAAATATCACGATGACCGAGAAGCAGGCTTCAGAAAGCGGCGAGGATGCCAGTTTGAGATATGCCTCATCTGAAGTGGTGCTCATTCCTCAGCCGACTAATGATCCAGCCGATCCGCTCAATTGGCCAATGTCGAAAAAGGTCTTCAACTTGGGCTTAATATCGTTCGCTGCGCTCATCGGAGTTGCACAGGCCCTGGCAAATCAGTCTGGGTTTTTTGTTCAGGCTGCGCTTTACCATAAGAGCGCGACACAATTGACCTACTCGGTAAATATTTTTGAGAGCCCCTTCTTGAGATCAAGCTCTAATTGATTTCATCGAATCTCAGATATCTGCCGCGATTGCTGGCTTGGCATCAGGTCCATTCATGTGGTCCATACTTGCGCAACGAATTGGTCGCAGCTCCTGTATCTTTTGGGGACTGCTCTTGACAATGGCTTGCGGGATCTGGTCTGCTGAAATGACTGATCCGGACCAGTATATCGCGTTTGTGATTTCCAGATGGCTTGGTGGTACTTTTGGGTCTGTCGCTTGCACAATCGGAGCAGGAACAGTGCTGGATATGTTTTACCTCCACCAACGTGGCAAGGCCTTCGCATGCTACGCGCTGTGTACGCTCTTTGGGACTCAACTCGGACCGACTTTGAGTGGATTCATTATCGCTAGAACAACCTGGCCCGTCCAATTCTGGTGGACTGTTGGCTTGGAAGGAGCAATGGCCGTATTGATCTTCCTCTTCCTAGAGGAGACAGGCTTTTCCCGTGATGGAAAGTTATATCCGAGCCGTCCTGAGCCTTGGTTCCAAAATCGCATCGCCACCTTCTTTCCCGGCACCGCTGTGGTACCGCAAAGCAAGGAGCATGGACGGCGGTCCTCACTCGACTTGCTACTGGTGGCGCTTTGCCCTGTTACGCTAATCGCTGGCTTATTCCTCTTCATCGCCTTTGGCTGGGCCGTGGCGGTAACGACACTGCTGTCTGTGTTCTTGGAGGGCCCTGTCAAGACAGGCGGATATGGCTTCTCCGGTATCCAAATGTCATGTTTCTACTTTGTGCAATGGGTCTCAATCGCCGCGGCCGAGATTTATGGGATGTACTTCAACGATCGCATTCCGCTCTGGTATACCCGTCGATACCACAAGGGAGTATGGAAGCCAGAGCACAGACTGTATCCACTTCTAGTCCTTCCAGCACTGCTTCTCCCAATCGGACTGGGTCTGTTTGGAGCTGGTTTGCAGTACCACCTTCACTACATGGTCTTAGCGTTGGGTCAATTCTTGCTGAACTTCAGCGAGATTGCGATTGTGCCGGTGATCTTCACCTATGTCGCGGAATGCTTCACCGACCATGGACCAGAGGTGGTGACAGTTTTGAATTGTTGGCGGTTAATCTTAGGACTGACGGTTCCGTTTTTTATCACTGCATGGGAAGAACGTGTTGGCGCGGGATGGGTGTTTGGCATGATGGCATTCTTCAGCATTTTCGCCTTCTCGCTGACCGGATTATTGGCTTGGAAAGGTCCGTCTATTCGGGGTTACTCGTTTACTAGGCTGAGGAAGTCGGAGGATGGAACCAAAGTGATCGATCAGCGATGAGGATATTATTATGGGGAGTATGTTCTAGATCAGCGGGCTACATGTTCCTTGACGCATAAAAGTACATCTGAAGGCATTGCAGATCTTCTCAGTCTGATAATCGATCTAATATAATTCAATCGCCGGATCTATCCGATAGTATGTACATAAAGAAGTTTTGGTGGAACACGCCAAACAATAGTCCTTATATGTTAACAAAAGTGGTCTTGTTGACATGCATAGCCCGTTGTTCGTTACATAGACCACGCTTCCCCAAATTATGATCAGCACCGGCGACAAAGTTCGCTGGAGAGGACTCAGGCTAGCGGAGTCGCAATCCACACGAACGGGATGACCCATGTCTAGCTCAGCCACTAGGCGATTCCTGCGTATCTCGAGCTGCATCTGCGGTTGGTCTGGATCGGGATTGACCCACCTCACCGAGAGTTAGCGAAGCGGGGGCCAGATCGGTTCTCCTTTCGAAGTGCCCCTTCATAGGTTACATACTGCTTAGTGAACATCAGACTTTAGTTGAAGGATTCGCGGATCCAACCAGTGAAGTTACCATGTTGCGATTGGGTGTTCGGTCCTGGGGTCGGGCGACCGAGCTGTGGGGCTCGTTTACGTACTTCAATAGTTAAGCTTGCTGGGATGAAGGCAGCCACCCAACCGGCAGGGATGTAGAACAGGTGGATTGTTTCAGGGAACTACCCATGCTCATACTACGTACTTGAGCTGTGGTTGGGGGCCCGTGATTATTCCATGGGTTCCAGGGCTCGAGGTTAATCCTGTAAGAAAACTTCGAATAATAATTCAAAATCTTTCAATTCCATCTTCTGAGTTGTTGTTGCCCTTCATGACCCAGAGCCCTTCGTAGACTCTGTGGTCACCATGGCCTTCTTGGGCCAGCAGCCATTGATAGTTGGCGTATCCATTGCCATGCTAATAATTGCGACACTTTCAGAAATATTTCGCTTTCTCTCTCGTTATGCCACACACTCGGGCTTCTGGTGGGATGACTGGTGTAGTCTGGTGGCTATGGTAGGGCAGTACAATACCAATCATGTGGGAAAGTCTGACCAGTTCTTGATAGATATTGTCATATTCTCTCAATATCGTTCAGTTTGTTTGTGAGTCAACCATCTACGACTATAGATCTCGAGATTAACCCGCCATGGATTAAATAGGCGTAAAATGCAATTTGGGAAGACACACAAACCACATATCGAACCCGGACGGTTCCATAAAATGCTTTTTGATGGTAAAAACACCGGTTGGAGATTTCCCCGTTTCTCGATGACTGCTAATACTGCTATTCCCCAATTTTAAGGCCCTCTACACAGTGACTCAGTTCTACGCTTTGTGCATGCCAGCCATCAAACTGTCTATGGTGCTCTTCTATTGGAGACTATTTGGATCCAGTCCCAAAATGCGCAAAGCGCTCATCTTCGCGACCGGCATGCTCATTGCCTGGACGATTGGTGCCCTTTTCAGTGGTATCTTTCAATGCGATCCTATCGCCAGGGCATGGAATAAAGAATTGCCGGGCCATTGCATCAACTCGGTTGTTTACTTTCGGGCAATTGCAAGCACAAACCTCATAACCGACGTCTTTATTCTTGTTTTGCCTGTTCCTATTGTCTGGGGATTGAATCGACCCGTCGGCGAGAGAGCTGCGCTCATTGCTATCTTCGGTTTGGGGACTTTGTATGTTTACCCCTGACCAATACTCGAAACACTAGCTAATTATTTGACTGTGTTACAGCGTCTCTATAATTAGCATTGTACGAATAGTGCTGCTGACACCTCCTAATGACCCCGACCCGCTTTGTAAGTTGCGTGCCTCTTCGTGACAGGAATGTGCCCTAACGTGACTATATAGGGGACGGTACACAAGGAACTGTCTGGACAGCCGTTGAAACAAGTGTCGGAGTTGTCTGTGTGAATCTCCCGAGCATGGCGCCGTTATTCCGTCGATATGTCCTCCGCCATGACATCGTTACCTCCAGCCGATCAGGCGGCTCATCCTACCCCTCTGCACGAAAACTTGGTTACGGGACTGGAAGCTCTTCACGGCGCCGGGGGTCACTCGATAGCATGAACCCATTAGGCACAGAGCAGGAGCTCACCGGCTCACAGCGAGAAATATTTGTGACTAGGGATTATAACGTCACTCGGGACACCAACGGACATGTCGAGCTAGACGAGATGGCAAGCCCGACGGTGAACCCTCCAGGCGAGACCATTGCATGGCATGACAAGGCACCGGCCCGGTCACTGAGCCAGGATTTTGCTATCTTGAGGCCTTGAAAGTAGAGTTCTTTTATTTGTATAGCGGGCGGCTAATGTCTGAAGAAGAACTAGATGTGCATCTATTGGAAAACATGACTTTCATGATACCCTAAAGAAGTTACCTAGACAAAAGCTCATTGAGAAACTAAAATTTATTATCTCTGATATGATCAGGCTCTCTCGGCTGACGCAGTCAATCCAGATTTGTAATGGGAAGTGCGGGGGGCCTCGCGGCGTATACCTGTTTGGGCAATTGGTGTGCGGCTATAGTGGAGGCTTTACCATGTAGATCGAGTTTGTTGCACTTTGGAATACCCTCTGCAATACTGAGCGCTGACTGCTGTCAAACACCTCCTCATCCGATCGCGCTTAATCGTTTAATAAGACGTACAATATGGCGTCTATGAAAGAAGTGTTCGCGGGATACAACGCCCGAAAAGCCGACCTCGAAACAAGCAGCAATCCATTCGCTAGGGGAGTTGCTTGGATAGAAGGAGAGCTTGTACCGCTACACGAAGCTCGTATTCCCCTGCTCGATCAAGGCTTCCTGCACAGCGACCTGACCTACGATGTCCCTGCCGTCTGGAATGGACGCTTCTTTCGGTTGGACGATCACCTTTCCCGAATCGATTCCAGCTGCACAAA